AGAATGTGAAATGAAATTCCCAGAAAAGAAAAGCCAGTTAAAGATTCTGCAAGGGTGATTAACGAGTTGTCTAGAACTTCATGGTTGTAGAGAGCTGGACTGCTACAGATCCAGATCTTGTGCTGTCTTTAGACCCCTTCATAGCCATCCATTGCCTATCTCTTGAGTCTGGCCTAGCATCTTTTCAATTATCAAGTGAAACCCTTTGGAATGTATTAATTTAACAGATCCTGAAGCTCCTAGGCAACTTCAAAACTAAGAACAATATCAGAAAACATAAGACCTATGGCATTTTGCTATCATCCACCTACCTGATATTCCCACCAATAAACTTGAGAAGTTTCCCGATTTATGACTGTCTTTTGTGTTATGCCCTCGAAAGACTTTCTGTGTTGGAACATATTATTTGGTACAACCTGAATCTTGGTAAGTTTTTGATCCCCAGTTATTGGGTATCCTCTGCTGCCAATGTAATAAGCCAATCAAGCTGAATTAATAAATCCAGATTTAATCTGAGCAGAGCAAAGCACCTCCCTGGTGGCTCTTGTGAAGACAGGGGAGAGAGGCCATGGCAGGTATGGCAGCTAGGTCTTAAGCAGCCTGTAGGCATGGTCTTGAGCATCCCCAGGGAGGGTCTGACTCTTGGCCGCCAATCCTAGGGGCGGGGTCTGGGGGGAGAGAGAGGTGGGACTTTTACCTAATGATCCCAGATTCCTTGGGTGTATGGTGCCAGAAGGGCTTCCACCTAAAGAAATCTGTGTCCCAGGGCCATTGTCACTTCTCTTTGAGGTAGGACCTATGTGTTGAGCCAACAAAAATATTTTTTTTATTTAGGAACTTTTTTTTTTTTTTACCAGATTCTGTGTTTTGTTTACTATTTTGTCTTTCTTGCCGTTGAGATTCCTGACACCTCATTTGAACACACTGAATTATGAAAATACCTGCTTCAAAATGATTTCCATCACATACTTTTGTAGGGACAACTCGAGATCAGGATCAGACTCCAGCATGCAGGCGAGCCTTAGGAAGTCTAAGAGGGCGGAAGGAAAGGGAGGGCTCAGCAGTGCTGGAGATAGGAGGCTTCCTGTTCCCACTCCCTGGGGCATCAAGAGACCCTGGGACATCGCTGATCAAAAAGGGCCAAGGCAAGCCGGGCAGCGGTGGCGCATGCCTTTAATCCCAGCACTAGGGAGGCAGAGGCAGGAGGATCTCTGTGAGTTTGAGGCCAGTCTGGTCTACAGAGTGAGTTTCAGGCCAGGACAGCCAGGTCTACACAGAGAAACCCTGTCTTGAAACATCTCCCCCACCACACACTCACACTCACACACACACACACACACACACACACACACACACACACACACACAAAATAAAAGGGCCAATGGAAATCCACTCCACAGAAGGGATTCTTATAGGTTGTGGACTTCTCTAAATTCAGTTGAATGTGACTCAGTACCAGGATGGAACTAGCTTTGTAACTTGGGACGATTCTTACTTGTGGATTTGACCTTGAATTTTGCACTGCAGGTTTCCTAGGTGCCTCACGGTAGTTACATGGAAGCTCGACACGAATGGTTTGGGAAGAACAGAATAGAACAGACTGGAAACCAAGGACAGCACTCCGGCTTCCTCCACATTTAAGGAAGGGGAGGCAACTGGCAAGAGACGCTGAAGATGCCTGGTTTGCGGGACAGAAGCAAGACTAAAACAGATACTGCAGAGCCCCAGGAAAACAGAGAATGTAACATCCATGGAATGATTAATCCAAGTCAAGTGTGGCACTTTTGCATCTAGCCCTAGCACAAGAGAAACTGAGGCAGGAAGATCGCTTGGGCCTGAGCCAGAAAGTTCAAGGTCAACCTGGGCCACATAACAAGAACCCATCTCAAAAAACAAAGCAAAGCTGAACTAAACAACAGCAACAATAGAAAGCCATACTGGTGTGGCGGCATACCGCTTCCCTTTCTCCAGACCAGCAATCTAAGGACCTAGCCATCTTCCTGCCCTGGCCACTGATTCCTGTTTACCCTTTCCAAACACCAGTAGGACAAAATTCAAAGCATTTTTGACTCCTGTTTGTCCTCAAACTTCTTTTAAGTTTCTATATATCCATTTGTGTTATATGTTTATCAGTTCTTGGATCCCTTCACTCATACAGTCACACATAATAAATGTGCCTTGCATATATATGCCTTGGAATATGTGTTGGTAATTGAAGGTGGAGGCAGGAGGATCAGCAGGTCAAGATCATTCTTTGATAGATCGAGAGTTTGAGGCCAGACTGGGCTACTCGAGACTGTATCAGAAAACAATAACAAAACCCACGGCATGTAGCTCAGCGCTCGTCCAGCACACACAAAGCTTTAGGCTTGATCCTTTACACATCTGCATGGGGAAATTAATCCAAAGTCAACCACCTAGGCAAGGCTGAGGCTGGGAGTATAGCTCAGGGGTAAGGTAGAACACAGGGCCCTGAGTTTCAACCAAAGCACTGTAAAGAAATTAACTAAAACTTCCAAATAACAATATCCAAAGCTTGGCCACCTAGGGCCAACCACCTAGGATGAAGCCTAGGAAAAGATCACCAGACTCTAGTCAATGGTACAGCTAGCAGATTTGACACATTCTCAGACACGGGGGAGAAGGAAGAAACGGGATGTCGGGGAAATGAGACAAGTTTATCACAAGAAGTTTAGCACAGGAGGATTAAGAGTTCAAGGTCAGTTTAGGGTACATGATGAGACCCTGCCTCCCCTCAAAATAAATTTAAAAATTAAAAATAAACTTAAGCCGGTTGGTGGTGGCGCACGCCTTTAATCCCAGCACTCGGGAGGCAGAGGCAAGCGGATCTCTGTGAGTTCGAGGCCAGCTTGGGCTACCACGTGAGCTCCAGGAAAGGCGCAAAGCTACGCAGAGAAACCCTGTCTCGAAAAACCAAAAAAATAAAAAAAAAAAAATAAAATAAAAATAAACTTAAAACAGAAGCCAGAAGAATAGGTAAGCACTCACCCTGAGGCATGTGCAATGCCTATTTATTGATAAATGAAATGAGAGCATGCAAGAACAAATAAATATATGACATAAATGGAAACTTGGGAGCTGTGTGAGGGTAAATTGGGGTCAAAGATGCTTCGAATTTTATCTTGTTAATGTTTGGAAGAAGATAGATGGCAATCAGTGCCCAGGAGAGGAAGATGACTAGGTGTTCAGAATTGCTGTTCTGGAGAATGGGAAGTCCATCTCATTTGTCAAGGTCAAGGGCCAGAGCTATGTTAAGAGTGCATCTACTTGCCACTGAACCACTGACATTGGCTTAAGTCCCTACTGACCACTACAGAGGCAAAGGGTCTATGCATGGAGGCTACTTACTTTTGTGGTCACCGGAAGGATAATAATCCATGAAGGCCATACACTTGTTGAAAAATTCGTCAAAGTTAAAAGTCGGGGGTGGTTTTAAGAAGCTAACCTGGATAAAACAACAGTAAAATTCCAGTTATTCTGAGGGCTGTGTGGCCTTGGGAATATCATTCAGCAGAACAGTATGCTTTTGAATGTCTAGGACCCAACACACAGTGACATTTAAGGATGTTCAGTTTTCATTTTGTTTGAGACAGGGTCTCACCTCTGTGGCTCAGAAGGAATGATGTGCCATAAGCTGGCCCTTGAACTTCTGGTTATTCTTATGTCTTGGTTTCTCAGGTGCTAGAATTACAGGTATGAGCTACAAAGCCCCACTCAGTTATTGTTATCATTATCATTACTACTACTACTACTACCACCACCACCACTAATAATAATAATAATGGTGGTGGTAGTATTTTTCAGACAGGGGAATTCAGACAGGGGAATGTTTGAGACAGGATCTCACTATGTAGTCCTGGGTGACCTAGAATCCAGTACATAGACCACACTGGCCTGAAACTCACAAAGATCTGCTCATCTCTGCTTGCTGAGTGCTGGGATTAAAGGCAAGTGCCATCTTACCATGCCCAGTAAGGCCACCTCACCAGGCCCAAACAGGGGGTTGAACCCAGGGCCTTGCACTCCACCACTGTGCTACAACCATGTCCTGTTTACTTGTCTGGTATTGTTTGAGAGAAGGTCTCGCTCACTAGCTCAAGCTAGTCGCAGATTCGAAAGGCTAGGTTCTCCAATGCTAGGGCTATGGGATGTGTCTCAGGTCCGGCCAGCAGTTGTAAACTGTAATTTGGAAAGGAGGCAGGTTGCAGCTGCCAGTAGTGCAGGCCTGTAACCCCAGCTACTTGGGAAGCTGAGGCAGGAAGATCAAACATCTAAAGGCTTCTGGTGCTAAAAAGGACCTTTAAAGATAACCTGGTCTACTTAGTGAGACTCTGCCTCAAAAAGAAAACACAAAAAAATGCTGGGGCTGTAACTCAGTGAGACAGGGTGCTTGACTGGCATGTGTGTGGTTCTGTCCTTCAGTGCTACCCAAAAAAATTCTGTTGCCATTTTAAAGGCTTATGGGCATAGCTTACACTGAACATATGCTTAAGCCCCTAAGTCCTAGATTCAATTTTTAGCTCAAAAAGAAGAGAACGGAAGAAAGTTTAATTTTTTTCCAATTACATTTTTTTTTAAGACCTTAAGGGTCAGTAAATACACACAAAGGGCTGCTCTTCTATGTTTTCCCACCCCAAGGTCATTTCTTCTTCTCAGTCTCTTTCTGAACATTTAAATTCAACTAAAACCCGAGGAAACCATATGCCTTCTTTCTCCTCCTCTCCTTCCTCTCCTCTCCTTCCTCTACCTCTCCTTTTCTCTCTGCAGCATGATACAGAGTTGGAGATTATTATCCACTGAAGTGTGGGTATGAGGGAAAGAGAGGCACTTAAAGAAAAGACAGTACACACCCAAAATGGGAGTGCAGGCCTCCCAGGAGAGATTCTCACCCCATGTTTTTTTTCTTATAAGTCTTGAAAACAAAGAGTGTCAACGCTTAAAAAGGTCTCAGGAAAATGGGAACTCTAAGACCGGCATATCCTTGAGTCTCTGGTATTCCTGCCTCCCAAAATGCAGAAATGAAGTCCAAAAGTGTAAAGGCACCAGGCGAAAACAGATGGGGTTATCTCTGGCAAATGGCTGACAGTCCATCAGGCAGGGTTAGGAGGTCATTGGGTAGAGAAAATAAGCACTAGCCTTCCCGGGGTCCACATTGCAATCCCAGCAGCCAGGAGGTAGAGACGGGAGGATCAACCGTTTAAAGGCCACATTTAGCTATGTAATGACTTGGAGGTTAGCCTGGGCTACATGAGACCCTGTCTCAATGAACACAGACAAATGAGGATCAGACCTCACAACAACTCCAGGCTGCCCCTGGGGCACTCCATGGCTTCATTTACTCTAGAGGTGGGGCCATTTCCTTCTTGAGCTCAGCAGCCTTGGCTCCTCCCACCGGACATGTCCTTAGGCTCACCCAGACTGGGTGGAGCCAGCCTGCTGGCGCACATTGGCAGCAACCACACTCTCACCTTAACTGCCCTCTGATCCGGAATCCTCTCAATTTCAATCATGTTCCGGTCACAGAGCTGCCAGCAGTTTGGGGACAGAATGACGTCGTTCATCTGGGCCATGTTCTGCGCAAGGCGCACATCATCTACCGCCTGGCCAGTCACCAGAAAGTAGTTGCGAGTGTCATCCCCGAAGACCAACATGGTGATGTGGCCCGCAGCCAGTCCTGGAGAAGGCAAGCAATGGGTTTGCACAACAAGTTCTGGGTTATTTCCCAGAAGCACCGATCTTGGAAAAGTCAGAATCTTGCTGTGGACTACACAACCTCTAAGCAAAATCTCATTTTTTAAAATTTTACATAGAAATCAGAGAATGCTTCTTCCAGGTCCCAATCGTTCTAAATGTCTCTTCTATCAAAGCTAGAGAACATAACTCCCAATTTTCACCTTTTGGTGGCACTTTTTTTTTAAAGAGGGGATTGGGTTTCGAGACAGGGTTTCTCTGTGTAGCCATGGCTGTCCTGGAACTCATTTTGTAGACCAGGCTAGCCTCGAACTCAGATTTATCTGCCTCTGCCTCTCAAGTACTGGAATTAAAAGCCTGCATCACCAGGCCCAGCTTGATGACACTCTTCTTAAGGGGTTCTATCACTCCCCAAAGTTATTTAAACCTTTTCTTCAATTTACACTTAAGGCAACAGAAAACGATGTTGCTAATTGAGGCTTCAACTGAAAACAAACCCTAGTTCTGTCTCATTTCAGGCCATAACTAAAGGCCAAAGAAAAAGAAATAGGTATTTGAAAGCCAGATGGCCCGCCCCAACAATGGCTTCTCTAATTGTTTTCTCTCTTTTTGAGATAGCATCTCACTATGGAGACCAGGTTGTCCTCGAACTCACTGAGATCCGTCTGCCTTCTGAATGCTGGGATTAAAGGCATGCACTCCCATACCTGGCCTCCTCTAATTGTTTTCAAGTTGAGAAATGAAGGTTTTTGTAACTGAATAAATATAGAATAGAACCTAGATACTGTAAAGGATGGCATGCATATGAATATATATATAAATATGTATATGTATACACGCACACACATACATATACACTATATATGCCAGAGTGCTCTTAAATTACTGTAATTAACGTAATCAAGTTTGTTTTCCATCTTTGCTCTTTGTGGTGATTCTGTTTGCGACTGTAGCTTCGGCTGGGCCTCGAACTTCCAGCAATCCTCCAGCCTCACCCTCCCAAGTGCTGAGGTTATAGGAGCACACTCCACACCCAGCAGGCTGTGCTGACTTGCTGATGCTGATTTCCCTGGTACGATCTGTAGGCATTTTGTTTTTCCAT